ACACAGCCGGAAGGTTTTGTTGATCCAAGCAGGGAAAGTATGCAAGCTTAAGAAGTCCATTTATGGACTAAAGCAGGCAAGCAGAAGTTGGAATCTGCGAATCGATGAAGCCATTAGTAAGTTTGGTTTTATCAAGAATCCAGATGAGTCTTGTGTTTACAAGAAGGTCAGTGGGGGTGACATCGCATTCCTCCGTCTTATATGTCGATGACATATTACTCATTGGAACCAGTACTAAACTGTTAAAATCCGTGAAGGTCTAGCTTGGTCAGTGCTTTTCAATGAAGGACTTGGGAGAGGCACTGTACATATTGGGCATCAAGATCTATAGGGATAGAACTAAAAAGATGATTGGATTGAGTCAAAGTACTTATATTGATAAGGTACTGGCATTATTCAACATGGAAGGGGCCAAGAGGCACTTACATATGTCACATGGCATAACTCTCAGCAAGAAGCAATGTCCACAGACACTTGATAAGCGAGAGAGGATGAGTCAAGTTTCATATACTTCGCTTATTGGATCGATCATGTATGCCATGATATGTACTAGGTCGGATGTATCGAATTCCTTGAGTGCTACGAGCCGATACCAATCAGACCCAGGAGAGGCGCATTGGACTGCGGTCAAGAACATCCTAAATGATGCGGAATCATTCAAGGTTTCCTTTCTTGGTCCGTTTCTTTAATGTTTCTTAGATTAGATTTTGGCTTACAAGTTTTTACCTTTCACTTGAAAGGGTTTTTCTTGTTTTAAGCGTTAGGATTTCTATTTTGATTAGGAATTGTTTTGGTCTAGTGAGTTCCTATTTGAATTAGGACTTGTTTTTAGCAAAGTAAGTTCCTAAGTGGATTAGGACTTGACTTTGGTTTTTAGGCGTGTCTAGGAGTTTTAGGAGGATTGAATACCCTAATCTAAGTTGAATTAAACTTAGTTAGTTTAGTCATATACGAATTAGGAACTTCGGGATCAAGTTTAGGTTTTCTAGGTCAAATGGGATTCTAATTCAATTAGGATTAGTCTTCTAATTTGATTAGGTTTAGGATTAGTTTTGAGTCTATAAATAAAGATTGTAAACTTCGAATTATACAAGTTTTGTTTTGTTGATTAAAGCTTTATTGCTTGTTAATTTGGAACGTTTCTTTCCAAGTTTTCTTTGTGTTTGACGAGTGAAGTTAAACATAAAAACCCTTAGATTAGGCGAGTGAAACCTGATTTAAGAGAGGTTAGATTAATTAGTGAGTGAACCTAATTCAAACTATCCTCAAAAACCCCTAAATCACGAGATTAAGGTGAGTGAAGCCTTGAAATCAGATTTAGAACCCTTAGGCTAAAACAAACGAGTGAAGCTTGTTTAAACCTAAGACCAAACGAATCAAGAAACGTATCACTAAAGTACCTGAAAAGGAACAAGGATAAGTTTATGCTCTATGGTGGTAGTGATGATATGGTTGTTGAAGGTTATACTGACGCGAGCTTACAAACTGACAGAGACGACTCCAAGTCGCAGTCTGGGTACATATTCTGCCTAAATAGAGGAGCGTTTAGTTGGAAGAGTGCTAAGCAAAGCACCATGCAGATTTTACAACTGAAGCCGAATACTTGGCAGCTTCGGAAGCAGCTAAGGAGGCAATTTGGATTCATAAGTTCATTAGTGAACTTGATGTTTTACCCTCCATCAAGGGTCCAATAGACCTCTATTGTGATAACAATGGAGCTACTTCTCAGGGAGCCAAGGGAACATCAGAAGGTCAAACATGTCAAGCGTAGGTTTCACATGATAAGGGAATGGAAATCCGAAGGTGAAATAAGAATTTGTAAGATTAGAACAGACGACAATGTAGTCGATCCATTGACTAAACCTTTACCTCAAGTGAAGCACAACAAGCACGTTGAGGCAATGGGAATCAAGCATGTTGGAGATTGGCTTTGATTTCTCTGTATATGTGTTTTAATTAAACCTGATATCTTAATGTAAAACACTATGTTGAACCATTCGGTTTTGGAGCAATTAAATTTTCCGCAAATTTATTATTACTCCATTTCTAGTTAATTGTGGTTTAGAATTAAATAATGAGTCCATTCGATTTCTGAGAATATTCAAAACAGGGTATTAAGACCACGTCTTGGATAAAGAAACACCTATTAAGTGAACGATTATCCCTAATCAAGGTCATTTAAACGATGGACGATTAATGACCACTTGAGATTAGTGAGTAGTATGATTTATAGCACCGTTTCTTGTGCTTCGAGGACATGATTGTCATAAATCATTTGCACAGGTACTAGTTTGGAACTGTACCAGATCGGCCTATGAGAGTACTTTAAGAGATTTAAAATCCGTCACAAGTACATTCTCATTATAGCTATCGGAACCTTTTTCCTCGACCATGAGTATTGTAAGTTCTCTTGTTTGAGTACTAGTCCGTTTTGATGTTGTCAAATGTCTGCCGTAAATGGGGATTATAACGGCAACACTCGGGCGACTAGGTCCTCTTAGTAAGGGAAGCTAACAATGTAAGACTGGGAATGTCCCCCTATTAACAATAGGGAATATGTCTTTGTTGTTTACAAGGCCTCTCGAAGAGCGAGACTGTGAAAATGCATGGTCGTGCTCAGATGGATTTTAGAAATCATCTGACAGTCAAACTCGGAAATCGAGAAAACACTTTTGGACGTAATAAGGATGACGAAGAATCTTACCTTATAGTTCATCAAGAGACATTAAGCGGCATAGGAAAAGGGTTATACACTAATTGCACACTTGTCCGGAAGGACAAGTGGGAGATTGAAAAGAATGGAGTCCTTCCAACAAGTGTATTATTCTGATAAAGGGTTCGAAATTATTAGAAAGCTAATTCTTCAGTAAGGTCAAATGATCATAATGCCTAGGTGGAGGCCGCTTCCGATCAGTAATATTAATGCATAATTAATATTACGGCTTAATCTTGACTTAACCCTTCTAGTCGCACCGCAATCGAATTACCGATCCGAGATGATGAATCAATCCGAAGGATTAGATGAGTCATTAGAGTATTACGAACAAAGACGTTGGATGTCGAGCTTAGAGCGTCGAAACCGAGTGTCGCAAGTCGAGTCGAGTTTAGAAGTCGACGAGACGAGAAATCAAACAAGAGACAAGCATGCGCACCGCAAGCCTAGCATGCATTGCGTGCTAGGCACAGTATGCTAGCAAGGCTGGTGCACGAGGCCGCAAGCATGCTAGCGTGCTAGTGTGCTGGGCCACCCACCCAGCCGCAAGCATGCAACGCATAGCACTCGCACAGCTGCACACTATGCGTGCTTGTGCTATGGGCTGTGCATGCGTGCTTGCTAGTGAGCAGCACCAAGCAACAGGCATCGCAGTAGCATACTATGCGTGCTTGGCTGTGCATGCGTGCTTGCTAGCGTAGCAGCACCAAGCAGTAGCACGTACCAAGCAGCAGCATCGCATGCGCTGGCTGGCTGCACATGTGCTGCGTGCTGGCTGGCTGGGCTGCCCAGCCTTGGTGCTAGGCGCCAGTTGGCAGCCTTGGCAGCCAAGGCAGGCTGCTAACCAGCCATGTGGCATGGTCAGCCGGTCAAGGGAGGATACCAAAGGGTTGGTGTTTTGGCTTGGGGAGCAAGGTGATTTGATCCCACCCTTTGGTGGTCCTTACCAACTCTCTCCCTCCGTGTGACACTTTGAGCTTGTTGATTCCTTGCATTTTTATTTTATTTTTGATTAAATAAAATTGAAAAAAAAAAAATGCAAATCTCCCACATTGATGGAAGAAGGGAGATCAAGGCTCCCTTCCTTATAAATACTCAATTTTTGGGTTTGGGAAAAACCACTTGAGTTGAACTCAATAAGGCACACATCATTAGTGAAAAAACCTTTAAGTTCGTAATACTCTAGTTTTGTTTGGTCAAGTCCCGACTAACCTTCGGGATTAACAACGTTCGGGTCGGGTCGAGGGTGCGAGCCGTCGGAGGCCTACGCACTTGCGTGGCTCAAGCTTTGAAGTAAGAGCTCGTGAATCGAGTGAAGCACGCATCGAGTGTAAGAATGTCTTTTCTCCTTCTCTCTCTTATGTTATTAATTATGTGATTGCATGTTTAGTTGCTTTAATTAGTGGGCGGGTCTTGGGCGGGTTTCTCTTCCGCGTAGCGTTGGACGCTACGAAACCCAACGAATATATATGATTTTAATTCTAGTGATCACCGATTATAGATTTGATTGTGCATTAAATAATCAACCAACGTAGATTAAATATGCTTAGGAATAATTTGATGCATGTATGTTGATCGAAAAGCGCGCATGAATATTGTAAGAATTAAATAGAAGCCGATTTAGGGCGGGTTAATCTCTTTTAGGTTAGATTTGTACTATCATCCCCGAACATCCAGTCATGGTTCCGGACCACTATGGAGTTAGCAATTTCCGTGATTGTGAATGGGGAGTAATCTTCACACCCGTGAACGGTTTACAAGTTCCTAAAACTTGTTGGTGACTCTTTTATCTCTAGCTTCCTTCCCTTGGAGCCCGCCATGCCTAAAAGCATGAACCACACTGGAGCTCAAAGATTGAGTTTGAAAAATTCCCTACATGGATACAGGACGTTATACTTTCCTTTTACTATGCGCAAGGAAGTCAGTCGTTTTATGAGTGGCCAATTTTTTATACTAGCACGATTAGCTCCCGTGTTAGTCCCCTTTGACAAGGCAGTTGAGTGGGAAAACCCGTTCAATGCATAATCTAAATAATAAATCAAATAGTTTAGGGTTCATTTAGCATCGCTATAGTTTTCTATTTTTTGATTTTTTTGCTTTTCCAAATCATAAGATATATGTCATATAATGAATTGAAAATTAGTCAAACTTATTAAAATCAAGATAATTTTGAAAACTGACAACTGAAAAATAAAAACACCTTTTTTTTATTTCCTGTTTTTGGTTTTTTTTTTAAAAAAAAAATTAAAATTAAAATGAAAACTGAAAACAAAAACAGAGCCAACAAGCCTTTAGTTGTGAAATTGTTGATTTGTATGATGAACTAAGGAAGTTTCTAGGTAAGTTTTGATATTGCTAGGATGTATCTTGTTAGTGTGATTTCCTTTACGTTTATATACTCAACTTTGCTGATTTGTACTATGTGTGTTATTCGAGTATGTAAAGTAGCTAAAAGCACATGAGTATATTTATTGTTCAGAATTACTAGTTAACAAAAATTATTTGTATCAAAATTATTAAACTTTATACATTTTAGCTTTTTTTTTTTTTTTTTTGGCAATTAAAATAGTCATTTAGACCCTTTTGTTTTCACCTTAGTTCACGAAAATTAAGTTCTGATAAAGGAACCCCAAGTTCAAATTACAACTAAAATATGTTTAGATAAATGAAAATTAGGTTAATAGAATACAGCCATAATCCACCTCACTAATCTTCAAATAAGTCATAATTAATCTTTTAACACACCCATCAATCTTACACTTTCAGCATTAGCAGACCTGCACCTTAAGGGCATCCCAAACTTCAAGCCGTAACAGTAAAAAACCGTTGCACTTAGTAGCCAAACAAGGGAGATCAGGGGTCTGCGAACATTAAAAATCTTTAAGCTCTCCTGTATGTTGCAGTGTTGTGCACCTTGAGGGCATCCCTAACTTCAAGCCATAACAGTAAAAAATCGTTGCACCTAGTACCCAAACAAGGGAGATCAGAAGCTGAGGTTAAATCTCTGAAGTCTCTGAACATTATATATCTTTAAGCTCTCCTGTGTGCTGTGCACTAATCTTCCTCATTCTATTAGTAAACTGCCTTTTTAGTGTAACTAGTAATTTCTGGTTGGTATCTACCTTTGCCTCACTTTTCTTTTCGATGTTACATATATGCAGAGTTTGTGCCAAAATCTATTATCAGAGTTTGTACAGGTACTTTTTTCCAGCTACAATTTGCTCATGAGTTTCTGCTATCTTAGTACATCTTATAATTTCTTAAAGTGTGACCAGACCCCTTTCTGGCCTCCACAAAAATGCAAGCATTAGACCGCATAAATCAAGGTTACATAAGGAACACTTGGAACTTCATAAACCAGCTTTTGCTAAGATGTATTTTGTGGAGTACCAGACAAGCACATTGATACAAATTCGCTTGGGGAGGGGGAGGGGGGCAGGGTGAGGGGTAACAGGAGGAAAAACAAAGTGTTCAGTTTGACATTATGGATCAGCTTGTGAACATTCACAGAGAATTTTAAACATATTGCTGGTTAAAAACAGAACAGGAAGGCCATCCCAGAAATTCAGAAAAAAATATCAGCAAAGTCTAGGTCCAAGAAACTAGCATAGTCTGTCCTCTCAGGTAAAACTTTGAGAAAATTTGTAGTGAAAGTCAGTATGTCACTTGAGAGTTACTTCGCTTCACCAACATCGAATATGAGGGGTTCATATCATCTAAAAATACTGATCCTAGCAAGTGTTTGTCAGTTGTCTAATAGCAGCAAAAAGGACTAATTGTTAATTCTCAAAGAAGTCATTGTGTGATAAAGATGGAAGAAATTGTATCAAATGGTTAACAGACGAGTTCAAATTAATGAGCTGATGGATGACTGAATTGTTTCCGGAAAAGTAGAGAACTTGACTCAAACTGCTGCTCAATATGCATAGGACTTCTAGAATAATTTACTAAGTTTCATCAGGAAATGTGGGAGAATATTGCTGCTAGAGCTGCCAAAAGGGGTGGTGGTATTGGAAGTTCAAACATGTGTTACTCGCGGAGTGCTTCACTTGTAGTTAGCCTTATACAATAAGCTTTCTACAAAGCAAAGGTTACTTATATGGATGAATGATACAGACCTAATTAGTTTGTTACATATGTCAGAGGAGTAGGGGACTTAGACGCTATGAATCACATGTTTTTGCATGTAATTTCACAAAGGATCTATAACAAAGAGCTGGCTTAACAATGAGAAAACAGGCAGTTAGGCCATATAAACTCCTGAGAGAAAACTACAAAACTAATACTGGTAGTCTCTATTAAGATTCTAATAAAAAAAAATGGAAGGAAATGCCACCATATACTTAGCTTCAATGAACAAGCTGTTCAACCATGCTAAATATGAGTAATTATTACCAATTGAAAGTGGTTATTACCAATTGAAAATGTACATCCTTGCAGGGGGCTGGTCGTCATATAGTATTATGCTATAAATTGTTAAGACACTGATCTTCTCATGCAACTACTGAAGCTAGAAGATATCAAATGGAACAGTCCATGTACATGTGCAAATTAATGAACTCACGGAAAACTAAAACCATCAATTTTAGAGAGTTCAACATAAAAATTTCGGCTCAAGACACCCAAGAGTCCTACCATTGACTAGAGATTAGGGATGCAACTTAATATTTGCAAAAGCTTGCCACATGAAAACATCTATTGGAGACTATATAACTTTTCACGTCATGATATGCCAAGTTTTTGCCTATGACCAACCTAAATCATATAAAGAGGAAGTCATAAGCAACTTTACAAGCTAACTCCAAGACAGTAATTTAGTAGCTTCTAGCTTGGTAACTCTCATAAGAGTAAAAAAAACAGAGAATGTCTCCAAACATTCTACAAATGCCAAAAAGTTATCATAACACAAATACAAATATTACTGAATCTTGGAACAAAATATAGATGCATTACAAAAGCTACTACGCATAACCTAAAAACCAAGCTAAGCTTGGTCTAATGGGAAAGATTGAACCTTCCAACCTTGAGGTTGGGGGTTCAATCCCCATTAGAGACACTTTAGGGGTGGGGATCCTTTACCCTTCCCCCTCACTTTCAAAGTGTCTGACTCGCAAATACCAGTCCAAAAAAACCATGAGGGTTAAGGCATGGTCAGGCTCCTTCTTCATATAGTAAATTTTATTTTATTTTATAAAAGTTCAATACTAACAAGAGTCATATTGTCCAACTAATAATAAATAGGTTGAGTAAATACCAGAATGAACGCATACAGCCATCAATCCCATCATACTCAGATTCCTCACTCCCTCATTTTCTTTATCCTCATCAAGCTTGACTGAGTTGAGCAGTTGACTCTCAGAAAGGCGAAACCAGACTCTCAATATAATCCTTTGATTGAACTATGCAGTCGTCATTAAGATTAATACCTTCTCGAGAAAACTGTAGCGTTTCACAACTTGGATCGACAACCTTGAGCTGTCCCCCATGGTGTACCAAACACTTGCCCGTCTCAGAGAAACCGTGATACATAACATTTACACAATTGAAAGAGAACAATTTCTGCCAAGAATTCCAGTCACTAGGATTGTTCAATATCCAAACATCAAGAAGATCATCCGAGGTGTAACAAAGCAACGACAAGCAACCTCTCAAGCGCAATAAACGCACCCTATAATACCGACTCAGCCAATTCATTGATGGCAATTCCTTTATTTCCTCATGAACCAAATCAAACCCAACAATATGATTGTTTATAAAAGAGCAAAAGTATATAGTATCATCGACTAAAAGTGTGTTCCCAAGCACAATCAATTGGAAATGCTTATCCAAATTACTAATTCTTTTCCATGTCCCAGAACTCAAAGAAAACACATGAAAATGAACATAGAAATCTCCAGGAGACGAAAACGAGCCGAAAATCTTGTAATCATCATGTAATGGATCATAATAAAACTCACATCCATAATGCATAGCCTTATCGTGACCTACAGGAATCATGATTTTACGAGAACCACGAGTAGCAGGATTCCAAACAAAAAAGAATTTAGGGTCTTTCCGCACATAAAAACACACCAAACCATGACAAGAACCCACTAAATCCATAAATGTAATCGGGTCATCACACCCATTATCAAATTCCAATTGGACAAATTCATTCACATTGCAATTATTTTCATTGTAATCTAACAAGAAGAATTCGTTCTTCCATTCACGATTGTTTTCAGTAAGTATGAGGAATTGGGGATGAGAAGAGGAGAATTTGAGGTGGAATTTTGCAAATTTAGGGGAAGAAATTGAAGAAAGCCAGGATTTTGAAACAGATTTGAAGCGAATTAGGGATTTTACCGGGAGTCTTGGCAGAATTTCTTCTAATATCAGAAAGTCTGGGAGAGTTGAGATTCGTGGCGGAAGAAAGTTGCTGAGGTCGTTCATTTTCTCCATCTGATGAAGATTGAGGTGGCGTTGCGGCGTTGCGGCGGTGAGCGTCGATGATGGGCAGTTGCTTCTGACGGGACTTATGCCGGATGACAATTTGGATCAATGGGTTAAGGTAATCAGGTGTGGTTTGGAGACGAATCTCTACTTTTTAAATTTTCGTTTTCTGTTGGGATATTTTGACATTTGCTACCTCTTAAATGATCATGTTTGACATTTGTTACCTATTTAATTTTTTATTTTATCTTACTCCCATCCAAATGCAAAAATTATAGTTATTGCTACCACTTAAAAGAATCCGATAGGATTTCATTAAGTTGGCCCATTATTTCATTAAATAATAATTTAATTTATTAATAAAAAAAAAGTTAAAAAATAAAAATAAAAATTCCCAGTCACCTCCCCCTCCCCGTCATCCACCCTCTCCCCTCCCCGTGCCAGCGCCCAAACGTTCCCCTGACGCCGGCAAACTTCACCTCCTCCATTTCTCCCGTCCACGCTGCCCGAAACAACCCTGAACGGGTGAAAACGAAACCCTAAAACTCGTTTAGGGTGGTTTTGGGGAATGGGTTTAGGGTAGGGGTGCCAATTTTTAAGTGGGGGAAGGGGAGGGGGGCCGTTTCCGATTGGGGGAATGGGTGGTGTCGGGGTGGGTGTTTCATTAAAACCACCCTAAACGGGTTTTAGTGTTTCATTTTTACCCGCTTAGGGTGGTTTCAGGGCTGCGTTGATAAGGGAAAGGGAGTCGGGTGGGGTCGTCGACGTCGGGGGATTGTTTGGGCGCTGGCACGGGGAGGGGGTGGCAGTGAGGTTTCGGGGTAGCGTTGATGGGGGAAAGGGAGGTTGGACGATGGCAGTGAGGGTGGCTGAAGATAGAGCGGTGGCTGAAAGGTGGCAGTGAGGTGGGTGGGGATGGAGGGGTGGTTGTAAGGTGGCAGTGAGGTGGTTGGACCCCACTAACGGAAATAGTAACGGTATAAGGCAACAGATAGAGATATCTATAATTTTGGGATTTGGGTGGTAGTAAGATAAAATAAAAAATTAAACAGATAGCAAATGTTAAAAATGGTCATTTAAGTGTTAGCAAATGTCAAATTTCTTTTTTTTTTAATGAAATACCTTGGAATTTTCACTTTTTTTTTTTACTTTCTTTTTTACAGAAAATTTTCACTTTGAGCCATCATATATATCAATCAAAATTTTAAATTTACCATGTACTTATAAGTTTCACAAAAATGTCACCAAATACCCTTATTAAATTTAATTGTGTCACGTGGCAGCGTCTAATTGATTTTTATTTAAACCATCAGCTCAGCCACCCTCCCCGTCCCCAACCTGCCCCCACCTTCGGCAACGCCTAGACCCCCTCCCCCACTTCGGCACCGTCCCTCCACCCTGTCCCGTGCCGGTGCAACCCCTTCCCCTTGAACCACCCCCCTTAACCCAGATTCGGGGTGGTTTAGGAGGAAGGGGATGGGCGCTGGTGGCAGTATGGGGGCACGCCACCTCGCTCAAGCAACAAGTCCCTTCTTGGGATGATGCCGCAAGTAGAGTCGGATACCGGATATCTCTTTTGTAAGGTTTCTTTATTTAAGAAATAAGTGATTTATATGGTGGCTTAAGACTAGTTGCTTAGGCCTTTATTATATTAATTAATTTTGCCAGTAATGGTCAGCCTTGCTTTCACTAGGGCTAATTGCCAGTTAGATTTGCCGGTGATGGTCAATCTACCTAGATAAAGTTAATAGTAGTTAATTTTGCCTTGAATTTCTTCTAATATGAGAAAGTCTAGGAGAGTTGAGATTTGTTGCAGAAGATCGTTGGTGAGGTCGTTCATTTTCTCCATCTTCTGATGAAGATTGAGGTGTCGGTGCGGCGGTGAGCGTCGATGATGAGCGGTTGATTCCGACGGGATTTATGCCGCAAAGAGATTAGAGATATGGCAATTTGGATCAATGGGTTGAGGCAATCTGGTGTGGTTTGTAGACGAATCTCTACTTTTAAAAAATTTCGTTTTTTTTAACGAAATATTGTACCTTTGAATTATTACTTAATTAGTTAATTCACTTTAATTCATCATATATCTATCAAAAGTTCGGTGGTAAAGATTTATTCGGGATCGCAACAGTTGTCAAATTTTCTAATATGTTCAAGTGAATCAGATGAACATTATCCTTACAGTTACAACAAATCGTTACATTTATCTCTTTGAAAAGGTCGTATATTGCGAGGATGATGAAGGAAACTTTATTTGATTCAATTTTATGTATTTGTTTATTTTAATTTCATTTGTAAATATCATATGGATTTCTATTAATGAATTGATTTGTATAAAAAGTAAATAATAAATAAAAAAAATAAAAAAAAAGGTGTTTTTAAGTTAGTTTACATTGCAGTTGGAAATTGTGAGTTGGGAAATTAAATTAAAAATGCTAATTGCTTGAATGATCGATGCTTGATTGATTAGATTGGTTTGTGTATGAGTCATCACCATTATTAAAATGTAAATCATGTAAAGTGAAAGAGGATCCGCACCAAAACTCTTGAAATGTATACATCAAGAGTATAAGCATATGGGGGGAGTTATAGGGTTTTGTATTTAACCATGATTTCTACTGGGGGGATACAAGATGTTATACTTTGATTTTACTATGAGCAGGAAAGTCCGTAATTTTATGAGTGACCATTGTTTTATACTAGCACGTGTGTTAGTCCCTTTTTATGGGTAGTTGAGTGGGGAAACTCGTTCAATGCATAATCTAAATAATAAATTAAATAGTTTAGTTGTGAATTGTTGATTTGTATGATGATGAACTAAAGAAGTTTCATTAAGTCGAATACAGATGGAGCTTGGGTTCAACAGAAGAAGGAGGAGGAGGTGTTTTCAGAAATGAAAAAGGAGAATGGTACTTTGGCTACTCCAGCAAGTACAATGCACCTAATGCTTTAGCTGCAGAGCTGTATGCATTAAGGGAAGGCTTGAACTATGCTCAAGCTATGCCTCTTTAATATCTGGAGGTTGAAACTAATGCCCATGCAATAAGAAGTTTGCTCAATAGGGAAGGAGATCATATGCACCATGAATTAGTTGCAGTCATCATTGATGTAGCCAAAGCTCTCAACGACAAGAAAATGGTGATAGTTTTCAACACAGTACCAAGGGAGCTTAATGCTTTGTCTCACAATTTAGCGAAATATGCTGTGGACATGCATGTGGGTCATACTCCACATTATGTAGTTCCAACCAGTGCTGCTGCTGCGTATGAAGATGATCTTACTGCTCTGCAAGCTCCACCCTCTACCTAGGCTTTTCTTAAATGACTGTTTTTCAACTGTTTGCTTTATGAACTTTTCTAACGGCTATTCTACTACTTTAGTTACTTTGGGTTCAAAGAATGCATTTTGGTTTTTACGCATGTCCTTTGAAAGTTAAGTTGTAATAATAAGGGCAATGCCCAAGTAACATATGCTTTCTTTTGTGTTAAAAAAAAACTAAGGAAGTTTCTAGGTAAGTTTTGATATTAGTAGAAAGTATCATGTTAGTGTGACTTCCTTTATGTTTATGTACTTAGTTTTGCTGACTTTGTACTGTGTGTGTTATTTGAGTATGTAAAATCAATAAATCAATAAAAGGACATGAATATATTTATTATTTAGAATAACTAATTAACAAAAATTATATGTATCAAAATTATTAAACTCTATACATTTTAGAGTTTTTTAAAATAATTTTTCGAAATTCAAATTAATATTTATTTTGCTATTAAAAGAGTCATTTAGGCCCTTTTATTTTCACCTTACTTCAAGAAAATTAAGTTTTGATAAGGGAACCCCAAATTCAAATTACAACTAAAATACGTTTAGATAAATAAAAATTAAGATAATAAATACACCAATAATCCACACCTCACTAATCTTCAAATAAGTCATACTAATTTTTAACATACCACCAATCTTTCACTAACATTTAGCATTAACAGATTCTGCCACCTAAAGGCCGTCCAAACTTCAAGCTCTAATAGTAAAAAAATCGTTGCACCTAGTACCCAAACAAGGAAGATCAGGGGTTGAAGCAACTCTGAAGTCTCTGAACATTAAAAATCTTTTAGCTTTCCTGTGTGCTGATGTGATGTGCACCTTGAGGGGGACCCTAACTTCAAGCCGTAACAATAAAAAAAACCGTTGCTCCCAGTACCCAAACAAGGGAGATGAGAAGCTGGGGTTGAATGTCTGAAGTCTCTGAACATTAAATATCTTTAAGCTCTCCTATGTGTTGTGCACTAATCTTCTTCATTTAGTAAACTGCCTTTTAGTGTAACTAGTAATTTCTAGTTGGTATCTACCTTTGCCTCACTTTTTTTTAAATGTTACATATATGCAGAGTTTGTGCCAAAATCTATTATTAGAGTTTGTACAGGTACTTTTTTACAAATACAATTTGCTCATGAATTTCTGTCTTGGACCATCTTATTATTTCTTATAGTGTGACCAGACCCCTTTTCTGGCCTCCGCAAATTAGAATGCATAAATCAAGGTTACATAAGGAACACTTGGGAGTTCATCAACCAGCTTTTGCTAAGATGTATTTTGCAAAGTACCAGCAGACAAGCACACTGATACAGTTCCCTTGGGGAGGGGGAGAGAAGGGCAGGGTGAGGGGTAAGGGGAGGAAAAACAAGTGTTGTTCAGTTTGACATTATGGATCACCTTGTGAACTTTAACAGAGAATTTTAAACATAATGCTGGTTAAAAACAGAACAGGAAGGCCATCCCAGAAATTCAGAAAATAAAATATCAGCAATACTGGCATAGTAGGTAAAACTTTGAGAAAATTTGTGGTGAAAGTCAGTACGTCAGTTGAGGTTACTTCGCTTCACCAACGTCGAATATGAGGGGTTCATATCATCTAAAAATATTGATCCTTGCAAGTGGCTGTCAGTTGTCTAATAGCAGCAAAAAGGACTAATTGCTAATTCTCAAAGAAGTTATTGTCTGATAAAGATGGAAGAAATTATATCAAATAGTTTACAAACAAGTTCAATTTAATGAGCTGAAGGATGACTGAAACATTGTTTTCAGACAAGTAGACAACTTTACTCAAAAAATTGCTGCTCAATATGCATAGGACTCCTAGACTAATTTACCAAGTTTAGCGTAAAGGCTAGAAAACTCCGCTACTGGGTTTTCTTGCTGCCAGTCCCAAGCCTGGATAAAGGAGGAGGGTTTCAGTAGGCTAGTGACAGCTAGTGTAAAACTTTGTCACATCCCATGACATGAGCCAAACTGATATTTTTGTGAGGGCGTTCCCTACTCAGTGACACGCTGCGATTCCTAGACCCGGGTGTAGTGATAAGTATGCAAGGGTTGCTAGGTCGTCGCCCGAAAGCGACGCGCCACATTGCCCGAGTGTGGTGTCAAATGAGCAAGGGCGTGCCATTGGGGTGTTCCCTACTGAGGGACGCGCTGCACTTCCCAGACCCGGGTGCAATGATAAGTATACAAGG